TGAACCAGCGTCAGATGGAGCCACCGTTCAGGCCCCGAATTGTACGTGGGAAGGAGGGGTGGGGGAAAGGGATCACGTTTTTTTAATCTTCTGGGCTCTATAAGCAGGTTTATTCCCATGAGACAGTAAAGGAGGTGGAGGAAGGGCAATTTTGACACAAAAGCCCTGGCCCGAGAACCAGGAGGTCTCTGGTTTTGGTTGCGCTGCTGGTTGGCAGCCTGATGTTGTACAGGTCGCTTTTCCCCTCCATGCTGGATTTTCAAAGGCAACTCAGCCAAAAGATGCAGGTTTGTAAAAGCAACTGCAGCAGATTAGTCACCCAACTACCCTCTGCCTTGCCCCAAGTATAAAATAGGGTAAGTAATCCTCATTCTGACCACTCCACCTACCTCTTCACGACTGGGCTGTCTCTCTTTTGTCTCTGTACAGCACCCAGCACAGTGCTCCCTGCTCAGGCCACTGTCAGCTGAGTGGTTCAAATGGCAAATGGGCTGCAGAGGACACAGTGCTGCCCTTTTCCCAGTGGTGCTACACAGCCTTGAAGATGCTGTCTTTGGAGAGCCTTTCCAAGGTTGTCTCTACAGCTTCCTTGCCTTTGAAATTGTCACTTGGAGTGGCTTTGTCTGATGTGATCACTCTGCAAACTCATAGTGGCAGTGGTCAACCCAGTCTCGCTCCATGAAGCTCACTGGGTGCAGGATCAGGCCCTCGGAGGAGCTGTGGCAGCTCAGGATCAAGCTCTTGAGTTGTTTCTTGACCTGAATCAAAGGCTAAGGGAGCATCCTCAGCCTGCCGTGAGCTGGACAGGATCTGGGAACATTACACTTCAATGTCAATAAAACATCTTGTTCTGGATGCAGGAAAAACACACACCTTGTCGAAATGTGCCACAAACCCCGTTTGTGTGTGTGCATTGTAAACAGTCCCACTTTGTGGCGTGCAGCAAGGAATCCAGCACCTGGAGGCAAGCCATTTGTCTTCCCACGGCCCAGTAATTCATTATTGTGCAAGTTTAATGGCTCGCACATAGAGGAGTGTATCCCGCCAAAAACCCAGCTGAGACACTCTGCAGATAAGGAGGGACTGTGTGGAGTCAGCTAATTGGAAGCACGGCTGATAACTGCTTTGAATGCCTGGGTCTGTGCTGACACTTGAGAAAAGGAACTGATTTATGTGCCCTGTCCTGCCACATCCAGGCAGGCAACCCGTCAGAGGGGGTGTCAGTTAAATCAGAGAGGGGTTTGCCTGTCAGAAGGCTCTAAAAGGATTTACACTGTAAGAGGGTCTGTGGGGGTATTCAACTGCTCCTAGTCCATCACTGGAAAAAGCTTTCCGTAAACTCAGCCTGGATTATGGAGGTGATAGTTCATTGCATTCAAGACTAGACTGAAGATGCAGAGCGAGTATCAAGCAGATGATGCGTACTTTTGACATCTCTTTCCTTTGTCTTTGCCATTTGACAGAAATCCAAAGATGACGTGAGCAACTTTGATCCAGATTTTATAAAAGAGGAGCCCATTCTGACTCCCATTGAAGAAGGAATTCTTCCAATGATAAACCAAGATGAATTTAGAAACTTTTCATTCACAAGCCCAGAACTGCAGCAATAGCTACGGCTCTGGGGAAGGGCTCCTGAGAGGACTGGGAGGAAATGAAATGAAAACCAAGTTTACCAGAAATTTCATTCTCAAGGAGTAACAATGCACTGACTTTACACAATACAGCAGCACCACTGTCAACATTACCTTAATGTGAAATTGAAACCTTCCTGTGTTTGTAGGATTTATGCAGCTCTTGGATCAAATATTGACAGGGGTGGAACAAACGTGATATTGTAAATAGCTGATGCAGAGAATTGAATGCTGAGCTAGTTGGCTCAGCCTGAATGTCACCGCTTGCAGTGGATTTGAGGAGTCGGCATGAGCATGAAACAAGTGTCTTGCAGCTCTGAGCCAAACAGACTTTTACAATTCTGATTGTTTGCAAGACTATTTTGAAGAGTCTCAGCACTGTCCAGCGTTTTGGAGCTGTGATACAGCATCCCATGGCCTGACTGAACCAGATGTTTCTACTGACTTTACCTGTTTCTGCAGTATTTATTTCTTTCCGAAGGACAAATGGCTCTCTTTGCCACTGTTTGGGTTTCCGTGAGAAATATTTCATTGTGCTGACTAGCAGAAGGAAAAAAACAAATGCCCTGTGCCCCACGCAGATTCTTCCAAATCAAAGGGAAGTAATGTGCTTGTAGTGTTTTACTGTTTGTGCGATATGAAAAGTTCTAGTGTTTGCATTCTGTGAAATGCCTTTTTACATCATGCATCTTCAATGCTCCTTTCTTTGCCTCCCAGCTGTTTTCAACTATAATGTAACTTGTAAAACCTTACTGTTTATTTAGGCCCATTCTATTTAATTATGCTATACAGAGCCCCTTTTGTGGGTTTAGTGCCTCATTAAAATTTTGATCCAAAGTGGTAGCACTTAAATTATTTGTAGCGTTATTGCGATGGGAGCCGCAGAGCTGGCAAACTGCTTGAAAGCAGAGTTATCGACCAACAGGTAACACAAAAGGACAACTTGCTCCCATGAGAACGATAAACCTTATCTAAGAAACAGGGTGACTTGGTTTGGTTTAGATTTAAGGACTTATTACTCAACAGGGCACTTCTTATCAGTTGCAGCCTCAAGCCTCTGCCACAGGCAGACTGACACATTTTTTCAGTGCACTTTGTAGAAACCAGACACTCTAGGAGGTAGTTCTGTGCTGTCCCTGCTCTTCTGGAAGTTGGATGATTTTTCTGTAGCTCCATGGCACACCTTTGCACTCCTTGCTCGGTTTGAAACTGTATGTCAGGATTATAGCCTCTTCCTTGGGCAGCTATGAATTACTGGAGAAGGAGAAGGATTTCTAACCTCTTGCAAAACGGAGATGTTTTTGTAATGCTAGTCACATGCTTTAGCTTGAGAGAAGGGTGAGGTACAGCCACTTCTGCACAGACCTTGCACCACTGCAACTGTGGAGGTGACATAGAGCGTAAGCCTTTGTCACGTAAATCACACAGGTACAAGCCCTGTTACAGCACAGACTCACCAGTGTGTATGTGCTCATGTACTGTGAGACCAAGTTAGAAATAAGAAATCAAAGCTGATATCTACATACAAGTGATACCTCTTCCCACCCAAGCCCTCTCTGCTTGACTAAGTCCCTTTTACTTCTACCCCTAAACCATCTTGCTGAACTGTTTGACAGGTTGGGCTCAGGTTTGGTTGCCCTTGGACTCCTCTTGCCTTTATGCTTGTGTTACACCAGTTTCCCCTCTTTCTTTCCTGCATCTCCTCTTTCATGAAAGCACAGCTTCGTCCTCTGGTCTCCCCTCCCTCCCATTGGCATCTTCTGCCCATACCACAGCCAGCCAGCCAGCCAGCCTGCCTCTCATCTCTTTGCTGGTCTGTAGATAGCCAGCTCCTTCAAAGTGGGGCAAGTGAGGAGGAAAGACAGGTTGCGTAGTGTAAGGAGAAGAAAGAGCGGATATCCAGAAAAATAATCCAAGAACCAGTCATGCAGGATAGCTTGAATTGTTTTCCCATATAGGAAGAAATGGTACAGGGATGATTGCATTTGCATGAGGGGGCCACTGGCATCTTATTCACGTGTGAATTAAGCGTAGTGTTCACCTGTCTGGTGCAGACATGACCCTAGGCAACTCCTCACTCAGTTTCCCACTCAGTTTCCCAGCGTTACGACTGTAGCAGTGCTTACTTGGCAAGGGGTAAGTGCAGCTAGGCTGGCCGCCAGGAGTGGGAGCACCAAAACTTTCTATGAATTTCATGTTGACAGCTTTTCGACTTGCCCATTGTTGAGGATTATGAACGACCTCTCCTTCCCTGGAGATCAGTCCAGGAGAACAGTAAGTGATACACTTTTTTGCTAGCATGTTGGTATCATCCCTGGGTTTTGCTGGTTGTATTATTCCTTGGGCTCTGGAGACCTTCTGGACTGACTCCTGCTGGAGAAGCTAGTGCCATAGTGTTGCCTTCAGCATCAAAATGTGATCCCGTCTCCATGGCCCCGGGATCCGAGCAGCTTTGCTAACACCACTGACAGTATGAAGAATGTGCAATAGTCACCTTTGGAGACTTTTATTGGTGTAGCAATATGTGTCCTGAAAGCTTGGGAAATGGAAACTAAGATGCTTCTGTAGGTGCTCTGTTAGCATTTTTGTGAACTGTAAATCAGAAAGGTTGTAGGTCACCAGATGATATAAAATGGTCTCTATGGACACCCTTGGGGAGCAGAAAAAGCTCCTGCCCTGGCCAGCCAGTACCTGCTTTGGCCCAGGGCTTGTTGGCTGGGTGGGGCAGGGGTCAAATCATAGAGTACTGTCTAGGAAGGGACCTCAAGGATCATCTAGTCCAACATTTCTTGGCAAAAGCAGCTTAGATAAGACGGCTCAGCGCCCTGTCCAGCTGAATCTTAAGTGTGTCCAATGTTGGGGAATCCACCATTTCCTTGAGGAGATTATTCCAATGGCTGACTGTTTCTCATTGTGAAAAATTTTCCTCTTCTGTCCAATTGGAATCTCCCCAGGAGTAACTTGTACCCATTACCCCTCCTCTTTTCCATGTGACTCCTTGTAAAAAGGGAGTCTCCATCTTCTCTGTAGCCACCCTTTAAACACTGGAATATGGTGATAAGGTCTCACCTAAGCCTTCTTTTCTCAAGGCTGAACAAACCCAGTTCTCTCAGCCTTTTTCTATATGGCAGGCTTCCCAGTCCTTTGATCATCTTTATGGCCCTTCTCTACCCTTTCCAGCCTGTCCACATCTATTTTGCATAGCGGGGACCAAAACTGAACACAGTATTTCAGGTGTGGCCTGACAAGGACTGAGTAGAGTGCAATAATGACTTCTTTATTTGTGCTGGTGATGCCCTTGTTGATGCAACCCAGCATCCTATTGGCTTTCTTTGCCCCGGCAGCACACTGTTCGCTCATATTGAGCTTGTTGTCCACCAGGACCCCCAGGTCCCTTTCCACAGGGCTACTCCCCAGCTGGGTAGATCCCAGCCTGTGCTGTGCTCCTGGATTATATTTTCCCAGGTGCAAAACGTTACACTTGTCCTTGTTGAACTTCACAAGGTTCTTGTTGGCCTGCTCTTCCAGCCTATCCAGGTCTTCCTGCAGGGTGCCCTCCCTTCTAAAGCGTCTACTTCACCACTCAGTTTGGTAGCATCAGCGAAGTTCATCAGCATATACTCAATCCTATCATCCAGATCATTTATGAAGATATTAAACACTGTTGGGCCAAATATTGATCCCTGGGGGACCCCACTTGTGATAGTTGCCAGTTTGAGAAGGAGCTATTTACCACCACCCTCTGGGCACAGCCTGTCAGCCAGTTCCCCACCCACCGCTCAGACCAGTTGTCTAGACCATAATGCATCAATTTCTCTAGGAGGAGGCTGTGGGAAACCATATCGAAAGCTGTGGAGAAATCCGGGTAAACAATGTCCACCGCTCACCCCACATCAACCGAACAGGTTACTTTGTCATAGAAGGTGATCAGGTTTGTTAAATAGCAAAGGGAGATTCTTCCCCAGCTTCACTTTTTATTGATTTTAAGTGGCGTCAGGGTCACTCCACGCTACTGTCACCCTCGCTGGAAAGCGCCTGTGTAGACCCGTATTTGGACTAGAAGGCTAATTTTCTGCTATAAAGTAATTTCCTTGATTTTCACAATTTCACCTGGATCTTGCTTCATAGTTTAGGACAGCTCTTCCCCTCTGTTGCCTGCCGGGAACACACATGTCTACGTAATGATTTCAGCCACTCGAGTCAGCAGATCCTGAGTCAGCCACGTTTGGCCGAGATCCCTGAACTCTGCCATACTTTTTATGAGGCACTGCCATTTTGATCATGTTACCTCCAGACTGTCGGCAGCAAGGATGAAGATCAGCTCATTAAAAAGTATCTGCACAAAATCTTTGCTTTCGAAAAAGCTGAATTAGTGTTTACACTGCCATTCAATATGTAAGGGAATACGGATTTTTTTTTCTTTTTTTTTTATAAACAAAGCAAGGATACAAAAAAAAGAAAGAGTTTTTCCATGAGCTAGCCTGCCAGCTCTTTTGGCTTCATTGCTTGCCTGAGTGGATGCAAGATGGTTTTAGTCTATTAATTTGGTCCTGGCTTTAGGAGTATATTAAGCTGGCAGCCATGGGTTTGTAAGGTTTAAAGCGTAAAATGCTTGTATTTGCTCCGGTGTGAAAACTGGCAATAGAACAAATTATAATTAGTTCCCTTTGCACTGCTTTTAGTGCTTGCATGAAAAGGGAAGGTCCCTTTGATGTCTCTAAATTTGTGTTCTGTGCAATCCTTTCATTTTCAAAGAGGTTCATGAAATTTAGCTATAAAATTCAGTGGCCTACATCTCATTCGAGGCCTTTGAAAGTTGAGGGTAAGAAGCAGATGGTCTAGAATGAATAGATGAAAATCATCTCACATCTACTCAGGCTGGCTGTGCTGCCAAAGACATAATTTTTAATACCACTGTTTGATAGGCAATGGAAAAAAAGTCTCACAGGCTCCAAGTGCCTAAGGGATTTTAATGTAAA